CTACCAGCAGTGGCTATTCTAGAACTGACTAATACTGCAGCAAAACAGTTAACTGTCTGTCAAGCTTCTATCCATTTCTGACAGTACAGAAAAAGCTGATAAACTACAGCTTCAAGGAGTCAAGCTTCATTTGCTTGATAGTAAAGACATTATCAACAAGTGAGAGCTCTCTGAATATAAAAAGAAACAGAACTCAAACTGTGCACTGAGGTAAGATGGAGCATGGTTAAAAACATGACCAGTAAACAGTGACTTGCTCACATTAGAAAGTACCACTTGTACTCCATTAGCAGAAGAGCAAGTATTGCTGCAAGAGAGGCAGTGCAAAGCCAGTTCCTTATCCCAGCAATGTCATGGTGGTTTTACAGTGAGTCTGAATATTGACAATGAGTATCAGAAAACCAAATTTTCTCTCTGCCCCATTCATTTTTTGAACAAAACCACCAAAAGTTGCTATTGGCTTTCCCTCTAAAGCAGTCTGCATTTAGCACATGTGAATGCCTTCCCAAGCATTCCTCTAGTGAGCAAGAATTACAGACTCCAATCTCATTGAACACTTATTTCAGGAAGAAGACAATGGCAGGACAGATAACATGGGGAAAGTAAACCAAACTTGAAATGTGGGAGGGGTATTTACAACTAAAGACACGAGCAAACTCCTACTCTTACCAAAAGAAGCAGGAGGATCTTTTTCAAATCCCCTATGAAGAGGGTACAGAACTTGGTTATTTTCAAAGATTTAACTGGGGTCAGTGTCTTGTAAAAAAATCTGGCAGCCCAAGTGATGTGCTGGACTTTTCAGTTACTGTGTACTGACAGGTCTCTTAGGCTAATATATGCTTGTATTTCCACTGCAAGGGAATATGGCTCATTTCCAATCCAACAAACTCCATGCAAATACTCACCTACCTGACTTTACCTGTTCAGTCTCTCTGCACCTGACCTTTCTACTTTTTGATGTGAATTTGTAGGTATCAGTCAGGGAAATCACCTGGATTTATGCCAGGTGCTGAGGGCTCATTGCCATGTGATCCCACAGGAGGAGGGGATAAGTGGCAGTGTGTGGGTGGAAGCTAACCCACAAGAGCTGATAGGATCAGAACAGGGAGCTGGTGTGCATCTACAGCATCAGCTGAGTACAGTCAGTGGGTTCTGTCTGTTTGAAGTGATTTTTAATTCAGAAATAGTAGTGGCTTCATGAGGAAGTCAGTAGAGGGGGGGGTGTAAAGAAAAAGGTCTATTATTGTTTCCCCTCTGCACCTTTCAGTTTGCCCCTCCTGACTTGCATCAGCAGAGTGGGCAGCAGCCCTGTGAGCAGAGCCCTGCAAGGAGTGTGCCTGTCAACGAGCACAGAGGCAAAAATAAACCCCCCCCACCCCTAGGAAACCTTTCCTCACTCCCCAGCTGGGACTGGGGAGCTGCAGCAGCTCCAGCAGTGCCAACAAGGTGCAGATCATAGCTCACATCCCACACTCCTGCCTGTAAAGGTCCCAGACAGGGCAAATTCTGCTCTGCTTTATACCTTTATCTCCTGAGAGCTCTGCTCACCACCTTTAACAAACCCTGCTTCTGTGGACACCCACCCCAACACCCAGCTGAAGGGCAGGGTGGCTCTGCAGCCCCAGGTGCCCCAGACCTCACCTGCAGGATCCTGGTGTCCCCCTGCCTTACCTGTTGGGTTGTCTGGACGTCCTGGAGCAGCAGCAGGAGCAGAGGCAGGCTGCAGGCAGCCATCTGAGGTGGTGTTAAATGTCCCTGGCTGCCAGCACTGCAGGTGAGACAGATGGGTTGTCCCTTCTGGAGGCTGAGACCCTTCCACGGTGCCACCAAGTCATGCTCCTTGCCTGTTCATTCAGCCCAGAGACATTCCAGCTGTCTGAGACAAGCAGGAGACAGGCTTTGAGACTCAACTGAGTTGAGAAAACAATTTAGAAGGAAGGGGGAGGGAGTGCTGCCCCAAAAGAGAAAAATAAAAATAGAACAAACCAAAACTGCCTCAATGTCTAGTCCTGGTGCTGGCAGTTTCTGCGAGACGGTTGTGAGAATCAAGGTTGTCACCCAAGGCACATGGCTGGCTGTGCACAGGCTCCTGAGTCATCTGTGCTGCCCTCAGAGACAACTTCACCACCCCAAAGCCTTGGCCAGGCACAAGTCCAAGCCCTGCCCCATGCAGCAGTCACTTTTTCAAGAGTTGCAACCAAGCCTCAAGGAAGTTCCCAGTAAGAAATGCTAATTCTTTCAGTACAGTCATTTTACTCCTGTTTGGATGAGTGGGTGAGGACTCACACTCAACCATGGTGACTCCTCTAAGCTTTAGGCTTTGCACATTGCCACTTCAAATACCAACATACTACAGACCTTCCCCTTGAGAAATCTTCCCTTTCCTCCAATCCCAGGAGAAAATAATTCCTGGTGATGACAATCATCCTTAAGTCTGCTACTCATCATTTCACTCACTTTCATTTGTTACTCTGCATGGTTTTTGTTCTGATGCCTGGAAATATTTCAGGTGCTTGAAGATGTCATGAAGCCTCCTTATCTGCCCTAGAAGTCTAGTCAAAAGTGAAGGTTAGCCACTTCAAAAAAGCCAAGTGCCTTGAAAACCCTCTGAGGTACACAGGAAAATAATGACAATTTGAATTCTCACACCTCTGGGTCGTTTTTTCGTTGCTTCGCACCAACAACAAAAGAAATGAGAAAATACTGAAAGTCAGATAAATTATTATTTTACTAAAGATCCACAGCAACATCACTGCCATCACAACCAAGCACCAAAGATGAGCATTCCACAGGGACCCTGTGTAAATATTTTCAGCTCACAGCTGCAGCAATTTTAACTACCTAGATTTTTCTTTCTCCAGAATGCCATCATATAAACCCCAGGCATTTTCAGCACACTGCATATCGTGTATGTGACACAAAATGCATCTCTCTGCTCTGCCAGGGTACTGCTCAGCTTCTAAACTCTCTTAGCTATAGAAGCTCTTGGGGTAGCTATTCCTTATAGGTCTAGAGGAAACTAAGAATTTCAATGCCAAATTATTACATTCTTGATTTTCCTAATTTAATAATGGCCTAGAACACACCTTAATCTTCTGCAGTAATATGCCATTAGGCAATTATCCCAATTTATTAATGCAGTTTCAAATAACATATTAGTCAGGACAATTGATGAGATCTGTTTGTATTTTTTCCTTCCCCTCTGTGTTTTTTTTCTCTTATCAAGCCCCATCCAAGCTTTTCTAGCATCAGCATCACAGAGAGCCTGGAAGGTTTAAGTTACACTGCTGAAGTCAAACTATCTGATGCAACAACTACTTACATGAGTACAAAAAATCTGTGTGTAAAAGACTTTCCCAGAATTGGCACCTGGGAGAGTTTTCTGGCCTGTTTTCCATAGGAAAACTGAAATGAGCATACTGACATTGTTCCTTTTTGATGAATGGTATCAATAATTTTTTAACCCACTGCATAACTTCATTCAAATTTGTCTGAGATGGCAATGCCATTAATTTTACAAAGGTTCATGGAACAAGATGACATGGATAAAGGGACAAGTGGCACTCACTGAGAGAAAGGCTCCAGGGTGCTCCAAAGAAGAAAAATTCCACTTACACATCCAAAGTGAAACCAGACTTCCCAGCTGCCATTCTTCCTCGAACTTCTTAATTATTAAGTTCCTTCTTGATTGAAGTAGATATTTAAAAGGATAGGAAGTGGAGGGTGCTTACTGCTGCTGCTGGCTTTTCAGAAAGGCTGGTACATGACAAAAAGTTATTACAAGTGTGTAATAAAAGCAACATCAATAAAGAGGGTGAAGAGGTTGCTCCACAGGAACCTCACAGCCTGTACGCATTTCCAAGTGAATGCATTTTTTCAGACTCTCTGTATTTTGATTTCAAATACAACAAAAGGGGCTTTCCAGAAGAAGCCCTATCAGTAACTGGAAGAAGCACCTCCATTTTATAACAAACCCACGCTACTGTTCTCTACATGGTGGCTCTATTTCCTAGAAAATAATCTCCTATGTTAATATGAAAAAAACCCTACAGAACAAATAGAAGTAAATAACCAACCCCTGATTCTCTGGTCTTCCATCAAAGGACAATGCCTGTCAGGAAAAAAAGGGGAAGCCCCTGTGAGAATGCTGTTATTATTTATAATGTTTATTTGATTACACATATCTGTCTCTGACACCTGCATCACTTTTTGCTTTAGGTGTTAAAGGTAGTGATGCCCTCAGACAAGCTATCTCAGTATTTTCTATTTTAATTAATTCAGAAAACCCTGTAAGTCAGAGGTTGTTCAAATGCCACTTGGAGCAAGAGAATACAGAGACCCAGCTAAGCACAAAGTCTCCACCACATGCCCAAATATCCCTTCAGCAATGTCTGTTCTCTGTGCTCTAACAGTGAGAGCCTAGCAAAGGAAGCAGCAATGGAATATTCCAGAATATTGGTACATTCGTGCTCCAGCAAAAGTACTTATGACATTTTCTAATTTTTAAGTAACTGATTTAGTCTCATGTTGTACTTTTACTATGGTTACTTCTGCTTTTAAATGTGTATGTTCAGTTAATATATATCTAGCTGTATAGAGGGAAAAAAACCCCACCAAAAGTGTCATCTCTAAACTTCTGACAGATAGAAAAGACCATGAAATTTAAAAGGATATATATTAAAATACTTTGTCTAAAATCTGTATTTCACTGTTAGTATTGCTATTCAGAGTGATGCCAAATTAATTTCTGCCTTTTTTGCCTTTATATATATATTCTTTACATATCTATTTGTATCTCTGTAGCCTATTATTGTATTGGTAGCTACCATTTTACCAACTCTATTAGTCAGAAAGACAAAATAAATTTCCTGGTGGCTCCAAGCCCTGGGGGTCCAAGGTTAGGCTCTGGGAGCCAAGGTTGAAACCAGCTCTCTGAGACACATTTTCATAAAGAACATTTAGTTCCTATCTAAGAGGGTGGAGGGTTTCAGAACGGGGTAGAACCAGGGAGAAGTTACTTCACCACCTATGCCTCTAACTGGGGATTCTTGTCAGTTTTGCCAATTTGCTAAACACATAAAAATTGAATCTGCTTTATGCTATGTGTGCATCTTTGGCACTTTCCATCTAGTGTTTTGTGCACTGTAAGGATCCTTATAAAGGTAACCCCTATCATCACCTGTGTCTGTCAGTGAAACAGCATCGAAAGTATTTTGTCAGCAGTATGCTGACAAAAAAAAAATATCACCAAATTCTTGTTTATTAGCCAGATGAAACAATGCCAGAGCTTCAAACTTCATGAGGAGCCCCAGGAGTACTAAAAGGCAGGGTTGATACATGCTACAAACCTTGGGGTTCAAATTAAAAAAGAGAAATGAAGGCATTTCCTGCAATGAGATGTGCAGAGAACCTCATGTTTAAAAGAAGCAAGAAATGAAGAAAGGAGAAAGCCAAGAATGACTTTCTTGCTGCCTTTCTTGATCTATTTAGGCATTTTAGCCATCAGAGAGCTCTGCTCCTGGGTGCCCTGGAATACACAGGATCTCGATGATTTTAGGCATTGTAAGGAAAGACAATACTAAATTTCTCAGTAAATCTTTCCACAGCCAAAGAGGACAGACAGGAGGGAGGGCAATGGGATCCCACTGAGACACATCACACAGCCAGTCACTGGGGTTTGAACTGGCTGTAGCTGACACAGTATTTGAATTGCACATGGAAGAAGAAATAGAACCTCATTTATGCCACAGACTGGCAAAATCCCGTCTCTCTATGCCACTCTGGTACTGATATTTATTTGGTGACACATGCACTTCTCATTCTTAGAATTAAATATTTGTCAATGCATTTAATTATGTCACTTCAATAGATTAAATGCACTGCAGGTGCTCTTGAGAACATTATCTAAGAGATGTCTTGATTCAGCAATTTACCTTAGTGTATTTGTCCATTGTGATCAACAATTAAGAAGGTTTAAAGCTCTTGTTGCACACTTGTTAAAGTGTAGCAATGGCTTAAAATGGGTTACCATCAGGAAAAAAAAACGTTACCGTATTAATAATAAAGATAACAGATCTTAATTTCCACTTACACTCCTTTAAATGTCATTTAGATAGATTTTATGTGGACAAAAAAATCTTATACCTTTGTTTTCATTATCTCAACTAATAACACTGCCTCACATAAAGGGATAAAACAACTAATGTAACAAAAAAAAAAAGTATAAAATGTCTTTTACTGCCCCATAGTAGCTTCAAAACTAAAGTACATTTTGAGTCAGACTGGAAAATGAGAAGAGCTGACAGAGAACTCAATTCTCTTAAGAAAGCTGGGGCTTCCATGAAAGAAACCAAAATCATATCACAGAATTACTATGTCCACAGGCTGGGAGAGACAGCGAGGGAGAGAGAGAGAAATGACCTTAGAGGAGAGATCACACCATGTCTGTACTTTCAGTAATTCTGACTGCAGCTTCTGGAACAGTTGTATAGTTAACACATGGTCACTCTCCATAGAAAAAGCTTGTGATAAAACAATTTGAAAAAGCACCAAGAGCTCCAATTCTATGCATTTTAATCCCAAATAGAAAATAAGAAAGTTCAAACACAGAAGTAGGACTCATTAGTTCCCCACAGTGTCCCAGACCTTTTTGGGTACCTCACATCCTTTCTTGATACTCTGGTTCTCCTCATCTAAAAGCTGAGTATTAAAGCTTAACTAATAATAAAAAGCAGATGAACTTTCCTTTGTGGACACAAACAAAAGAAACTTGGGAAATATTAAATATTTTTTGTGAAAAAAATCAAAAGGAAAGATTTTCACGATGTAGTTTTTCCAAAGACTGTAAAACATCTTTTCTTTGACTAATTGAGCATCTCAGCCCTAAAAATTTAGGGTGTAGTTTTCATCTTCCTGGCATCTTTGCTCTGCAGAAACCAATGGAAGGGAGAAAACCAAGTCCTTAGTTTTGCTCAGCCATTATCCAGGGAGCTGCTGAAATTGAGGGGTTTGACTCCAAAAAGAACGGGCAGAACTTCCCGTGTTTTCAAATTTGAGACACTCTGAAAAGAAATCCTTATGGGCCTCGAAAACACAAGTTCCAAAGAGATGAAAACCCCCAAAATCAAAGTTTTCAAATGATTCAAAAAGCAAGTCCAAGCCACATGCAGCTGTTTCACCTGGGAGTTCTGGGGAGAGTCACTACTTGATGTGCTGATAACAAAACAGAACACATTAATCAGCACAACATTCAGCCAAAGCTCTTGATATTAATTCTTACTGACAGCAAGAAACTCCTGATCCTGAGACACCATGAAAATTATCTTACCAGAAGGCAAACAAACACTAAAGACCATCTAACACTGCTACTGAGAAGTAGGTGGGAGCTGCATTTAACAGCTGAACTACATCGCCCCGTTCAAAACAATCACAAATACATCATTTAATGCATCTCATTTGTCTAATTAAGCAAAGCTGGATTTCCCATCTGATGAATCAGTTTTATATATATGCAATACAGTCAGAAAGGGGAACTAAGCCAGCTTTACTACCAAAACATCAGCAAAATGAGCACACACAGAGCCAGCCATCAACAGGATACACAGCTGCCCAGACTGAACCAGCATGTTCCTTAGTGCTAAATATGGGAAAAAAAAAATCTAAATCCAGGTCCAGCCTACCTCCAGGACCAGCAGACAAGCTATCCCATACTTCTGTGCTTACACAATCAAGCCCAGTGTTTGTATTATTTTGAGGCTTAAGAAACTCTTGGCCTCAAAACATTTCAGTATTTCTAACCCCAATCCCAACAACGCCCCACCCCACTCTCTGTTCTCCCTGGAAATGCAGATCCCAGCACTGGCCCCAGCACAGGGTCCACTGTCCAAGTGCAGAAGCTGCTTTAGCACTGGCTGAAATGCAAGTTCTCAAGCAGTAAGTAGATGTGTTCCTTTACAATGTCCCCCCAGGTGCCATCTCAGCCCCCTCTGTGTTATCCAGGACTGTGTAACATGCTGCAGGACAAAGCTACCCTGCAAACCTCATTATTCCTGCACAAAACATTCCTGTATCCTCACAGCAACGGGCTGAAAGGGCACCTGTGCAGACCTGGACTTATAAACTCAATGCCATGCAGTGGAGATGGCGATGTGAATTTAAAAGAGAGGCTCCACAAACAGGAGCATTTTCAGGCTGTTTGAGCTTGCAAATGAAGGCAAGATTAAACACACACACAGACACAACTGTGAGTGAGCAGGGGCAGCATCACCAACTTCTCCCATCTGTTTCTAATGGAGGGTCATAATCACACCTCCGATACTTCCACAAGTGGGAAAGACAATGTATTCCCATCTATCAAGAGACATTTTGAATTCAACATTGGTTCCAACCACAGGAATCTACAGCATGACCTTTTCTCTGTAGAGTGGAACAGGCTTGCTGTAATTTATTTCAGGATAAATTAAGGTTTATGATGTCTTGAGTTTGAAGGTAAGGTAGTAAAAATGTTAAATTTGCCCTGTTTGGTATAAAATTCGGCACCTAGTGTTCTATAGCCACTGGATTATTTTATTTTTAAATTAGTATTTCCAATAATGGAAATTATTTGACCGATTCCGTTCAGTAGGGCCTACAGATAGATAACCCAAAGCTAAAGTCAAGCTAAGTCATGCTTGCAATATTCCTCTCCTTGTTTAAAAAAGTCTATTCATGCATTTAATAAATAATGTATTTCATATAAAAGTAAGTGAATGCCAAGAAGCTGCACAAACCAAATTCATTCTCTCAAGTTAGCTCCCTAAAATACATTTGAGGCAGGAATTTCTGTTTCAGAAAATTCAAAGCAAAATAAAACATCAGTTTTATTGTTTTCAGACACGGAAAGTAAGACTGGTCTATAAGGTTCAGACAAATCACACTATGTGAAGTAGTTTGTTTTAATACAGTTTAAAAATTCTAAAATGCTTTTTTGGTTTATCTCCAGAAAACTTGGAAAAGTAGAGGTAAGCAAAATATGCAACCATTTTAAGGCATTATCTAGCTCATTGATGAATAAAATCTCATTTTAACTTTCTTTTCACATTCAAAGTTACTCTGATGTACTACACTCTGTAGCTACACACATTGCACTGAGAATAAACTGGATTTTTAAAATTTTTACAAATCATTGAGGGACTCAAGTTTAACATGCTAGAAGATTGTGTGCCATGTTTCAAGTATTTGGAAATAAACATATGTATAAACACAGTGGAGTGTTTCACTCCACTGAGCCAGGCCCTTCACAGGCCAGTTCCTTACCCTGGCATTCAGAGTTTATGCTACACTGCTGGTTACTCAGCTGAGGTGGCAGATGCACTAATGATCCTGCACACATGACTTTATCCAGCCCTAGCTGGGACACTTCATGCAGCTGCTCAGAAGTAGCTGTAAAAGGCAAAAAATGCGAAGTGAACACAGTGACTGTACAAACTCAGATCTGTGTATTGGCTGCTCACATACACCGACGACTACAAAAACTGGGGAAAATCTGTCCAAAGAGTTATTTTTATCCAAATTGCTTTGTTCCTGAGTTGTTTCCACGTGCTGTGCCCATCCCTTCCCCAGGGCAATCAAGTCATGATCCAGAGTGTTGAGGGAGTGGGGTCTGAACTGAGAGCTGCTGTCTGGTGCCTGGGTTTGCTCTGCTACACCTCAGGTGTGCCAAGTGAGGCAGGTGTAGAAACTTGTCAGTTCTGGCTTCTCCTGACACTCTGGACACCGAGTCCTGGAATCCAAATAAAGAGGATGTTAATCAAAGAATGCCAAAGTGACTTTTCCCATTTTGATGAAGACTGGTGAGCTGAACAGGATTTTGCCTCTTACTCAGCTCCATTTGCTCTTTTGTCTCTGTGCACACCAGTTAGCAGAGGGAAAACATTTCCCAGCAGTGATAAGGAGATACTCTTCCAGGAATTTCTGTTTGCTCAGCCCCCAATAATCACACCCATTAGAGATGGGGCTGCAATTTCCATTTGTGCAATTCCCAGCATCTCCTGGGACTTTTGAGGCTGTGCTTACCAGGTGAGGACAGGGAGAAGCCTTCTCTTCCAGAGAGGCTCGCAGATCCAAATTGCTGAGCAGGGTGTTGCTGGAAGGAACCATGTTTTCCCAGCCAGCCAGGCAATGCTGTGAAAAAAGATGAGAATCCTTTTCCCTTTTTTTATCTATTGTGGCCCTGTTATTGTTTAGAAGTAACTTCTGCACAGGGAGGTTTAAGTGAGTAATTAATCTATTATTTTTTGAGGAGTTTTATATGACTAACAGGAAAGAAATGAAATCTCAAATAAAGGAGAACTTCCGTCTTTCTAAACTGATTTCCCATTTTGTCAACTCAAGCACCTGACCCCTCTGAACCGGTCTCGACTGACTCATCCAGTTCCCTAAACCACAAACTAAGCTCCCTCCCACCTCTTTCCTGGAAATCTCCAGGCCTGGGCTAGGTTAAATTAACAATACTGCCTGCAGCATTGACTACTGGCTGGAATACAGGACCAGCCATACAACAGCAGCTTTAAATCCACCCTTGCCACTACTGATTTTGTGAATACTTTACACACACCTGCCTTTCAGACTCCTTAACATCTGTGGAAACAAACACAGCTACTCTTAGCTATGGTTCATGGTGTTGAGAGGCCAATGCCTGAAACAAGTCAGCCAAATCTCCACATGGCATTTTCTTTTGTGCACTGTAAAGCATTGGAAATACATCATACATCTTATCTCACACACAAAGGCATGAACTCAGAACCTACAAAGGACATTCTGGCTATCTTACAGATGCACATCAAAAATTTTAGTGGAAACTCTGCCAGATTCTCTTTCCTTCTTGCTATAAAGCAAGGACCACCTGGGGCTGTGCCATCAACAGGAAGACAGGAACTTACCGAAGGCAGTGCCAGATCATCTGCTGGCTCAAAGCTCCTCCTGCGATGGGCTTTGTACTTGTAGGCTGGCAAAAGGGCAGACCTGGGAATGCTGACCCTGGAACCACACAAGGGAAGTAACTGCCTACACCTCTGCCGAGGCACAGGGAATCTGCATGCCTTCCCACTCAGAATCCAAGGGTCTAGCCCCAGAGTGAACCAAGTGAACCATTCTGGGTTAGGACAGTAGACACTTCACATGTCCATTCAGATTCTGGACCAAATTCAGACAAAACCTGCATTTCTCATTGATTTCAAGACTGTTTGTGCTTAAGATTGGGAAAGAGTTTTTAAGCAAGAGATCTCTGCCTTGAGAACAGGAACCTTCTATAGAACTGTTGGGACGCTCTTTTTTCCTTCCCCTGATCAGATTTTCTTCTCTGTTGTTTCCTTGGGTTGTGCACATTACAAAGCAGTAATTCTTATTTACCTGACATAGGTTGGCTCCTCCAGTGTCCCTGGGGGCTGGTGTGTACGTGGGATTTTACACACAGGGCAGGCAGATTCTGAATCCACAGGGACAGTAAAGAGGCGCTGGTTTAATCCATAACAGTAAAAACCTGCACGGAGGAACAAACCTTCATCATAGCTCTTGTTTGTCACAAGGTGCCTGAACCCAACCAAAAAAGCTGTTTCTACCACACTGCCACATCTGCATTCTATAAAAAGAGCTGCTTTTCCTGAAATATCTTATACATTTCCTGTCCCGAAGTAAGTTCCTAAAAAGCAAAACCAAAACTTCAATCTCTTCAATTCAGAAACAGAACATTAGCCAATTACAAGAAACTCTGACAAATTAAAATGACACTGAGAGTGGATCCTAGAAGACTCAAAGTATCTTTGGAGTAGAAAGTTGAATCTGGTTGAAAAGCAGCAGCTGAAAATAACACACTCTTGCTGGTCTTGCATGACATGGTGCTCTCACAGGATGACAGGTAAAGACTGCTTAGTTGTTTATTCACAGAAATTGCATTAGAAAGAAATATGATCTTACACTTATGAGAATCAGTTATCAAATCCAGTTCTTCTTCAGGACCTGTGCAGTCCAGAGCCTTGGGCCTAGAGAAACACACAAGAAAATCAGTTAGTGACACAGGGGCTGACCCTCTGAACAGCACTGCCTTTTCCAAGCACACATAACTGAGAGATAAAGACCCTCAAAGCCACGCTTGCAATGTCCTGCTCCAATCAGACTATGTTTATCATTACTACAGGGATTACTAAGGGATTGAACATTGCTGCTTCAGCCGTTCTCCATTCCCACTTACTCCAGATGCTGCTGATGAATACATGTCTCTCTGTTGGACTGTCGGAACTCTTGCAGCTCAGCGAAGTATTGATCAGATTTTTCTGTTACTGAAGACTTTGTATCAAGAAGCCCTGAGAATACCAAGGAAAAAGTTCAATGATTTACAAAATTTGGGAAAGTACTAAAGCAAGCCTCACAAGATACAGTCAAAGCAAAATAATGCTAATGAGAAGGGCAGAACATCATGTCAAGCCAGAGATTTACTGTGTGGTTTGGGTCCCTTATTGCATTCGTTCACTCCAGGTATTTGGTATCCCTTCTGACCTCACTAGGCTTTGCCTTTTGCTGCCTGAATTCCCATACCACTCCACTTCACCACTCCAGGTAAGCACAGATCACCTCTAGTCTGGAGAGGAGCCTCAGAAAAAGCTGCAGCCCCTTTGCTGGGGCCTGCTGCGCTGGCTCCAGGACAGCACTTCCAGCACACCTCAAAGGGGTCATAAACTGTGTTTTAACTCTAAATATCACCACATCACACTGACAACTTTGCTTTAGAGTGAGGATTCACCTGCAATCCAGTCATAGCCCAGGAAAGGACGGGCAGACCAGCTGCTGACAGGTATGGCATCTTCTTCAGGATCAGGCTGAAAAGTGACATGACGAGGTTCCTTCTGAAAGAAAACAATTCATAAAGACTTCCTAATCACCTGACAGGACATTCAAAGGTACAGCTGAGGAGACAGCTGGAAGCTGTTCAGATGGGACAGCTGTGGCTTAGTTAGATGGGACAGTTTGAGACTGGATTCCAGCTATGCCTCTACCAGTAATTTGCTCACCAGCTCTTTGTCTTGTCAATAAATAAAACAGAAAGAGGAGGCAGGGACTTGCCCAAGCAAGGCAGGATTTTTCAGAGCTTTAAACAAAATGCTGAGCTGCATCACACACTGCCAAAGATGAGGCAACCTGTGCTGCCTTGGAGGATGATCACAGCCCTTCATGCCTAAGGAGACAAACTGTGGAACAGCAGCACTGCACCTGCCTGGTCTCCCTCAGTGTGTGGATGGCACATGCAAAAGACAGACAACACTTTACAGTGAAGTGTTATGGATTTCTGGTCTTTCAGTTCATTGGCTAAGGAAAGCAGGGCCTGAACAAACTGCCAACAGCCCCTGGCTGGTATAGCTGGGAAGAGTTCTGAGCCCAACTCCCAATTTACACAGTGGGAACAGGGGAGGTTGTGTTCTCCTGGCCTTTCCTCCTCATCATTCTGTAGACTTGGGAAAATAAGAAAAGCATTGGTTTAATATTTACCTTCAACTCTTTGGACTGAGACATCAGCAAGATTGATTTAGGGATATGGGGCTCTCTGATGACCACATGCTGCTCACTGGTCTCTTTATTTTGCACTCTGCTCAGTGATGGCCCCAGATGACTTCTCTCATGGGAACCATGCAGCAGAGCAAGCTGTTTTCTGTCCTCTCCATGTCCCAGGGAGAAGGATTCTTTCTCTGGACTTCCTTGAGCACCACCATCCCCATCCACGCTGGAGATTTCTCTGCCACACGTAATGACTGCAGACACTGGCATAACATTCTTCTCTTTCTCAGGAAAGCTGGAATGGAGACTTGCTCCTTCCTGTGTGCTCACTTGTTGTTGCTGTACCCCTCTGGCACTGTTGCTGGACTGAGATGAACTGAGGGCTGAGCCAGCTCTGGGCTCCACAGACACCATTATTCCAGGGTCAGCTGTAGGTTTTACTGCATCGACCTCATTTTCCTTCTGTAAGGACAGACTATCTTAACATACATCATCAGTCAGACTACAAACAACTTTTGTAAGAACATTTCACTCATTAAATGAAACTCTCATTCTAGTCTGTTCATTTTTTTGAATTCTTTTAAAGGTGGAAAAAGAAAAATCCTTATGTTCTGGAGAGTCTAAGAAAGAGATCCACTTCCAGCTAAATGCAGCTTTTCCCAATTTGAGGAACCATTGAACTTTCAGCCCTAGTGCTTAGAAGAAACAAAAGGATTTTGTTCCACAATGCTCATTCCTATCTTAGAAGAAGGAACTTGCCTTTCTTAGGCAGGAACTGATCTCCAAACCCTTTGCCAGGAGAACAGATTGAGACCACAGAGTAAACAATAACCAAAGGACAGCTACTTTTCTAACAGACTGCATATTTCACATAGCAATTTCTAAGAGCTCTTTCATGTCCATATGTCTCCTTGACCACACCACACCATAGGCAGAGCTGCTGTCTGTCACAGAGACCCATTTTCTTCCCTGAATTTCTAGCACATACCACTCTCCTGGGCAAGGGGGTGCATCTCTCAGCAGCTGCACTGCCATGAAGAGATGCTGGAAGGAGTTGCTTGCTGGGAAGTCCTTTTCTGATTTCCTCCTGCTTCATTCTCAGCCTTTGCAGAAGGTCCTGGCTGGCCTGGCGCAGCCTCTTCAGGAGCTCTAAGTCCATTCTACAAAAACATTTTAATGTAAACCCAGAAGAAGAGTGAACTACATAAATTCACCACATTAAGTAAAGAAGCAGACACACTCTCAGGAGACTTTTCCTAAAAAATACTCACAGCTGTTGAAATGTTGATTCTTGCTCCTGAGAAATCAGCCAGTCTCAAAACCCCTTATGCCCAGAACCAGCACCACCAATGCTTCTCTCCTCTTGGATATACTGCCAAATATTTTGCACTCAGAAACTGGGAGCTGACTTAATAGAGAAAAGAAACTCTGACAGAGGAAATAATAAACATGAAAAACTCACATCAAAAAGCTAAATAAGAGGCATTTGGTTTAGAGGCTATTATTTAGCCTTATGCAATATACTTATGCAATTCTGCTGTAATGTTCTTCTGAAGCATTTAAATTTATATTGTGGTAACACCAGGATGCTCATAAATTCAAAATATAACTAATTAATGTGAATATATCTGCTACCCCCAAAAGAAATATAGAGTCAAAGCTGTCTTCCATGTTCCCTGGGCAGGAAGGCTCCAAAAGGCTCAACTATGACTCACAGCTACAGTTCAGGCAATTCCAATCCCACAAATTAATTAAATCCCACAAAGGGATTACCTTTTATTAGAAGTGGAAGATAAAAAGGAGTTAATAAACAGATAAATAAATAAAAGCTAGTTTGACTGAAAGGCTGTCACACTGTCTGACAGCTTTACAATATCACAAGCTCCTCTACATTTGCAGAAAGTGGATTTTTAAATAAAGCAGCTGCAAACCCAAAACCTAAACTCCCACACTGCTTTTGACTAGACTGATAAATTATCTTCTTAAGAAGACTGTGTGTTTCTCTGGGACCTTTAGGTCTAAAGGATCCCCAAAACTTTCTGCAAAGCTCATCTAATTTGTTTTTGCATCTGCTACCTCGGCAACTGGACATGAGGAATCAAATGCATATGTGATACAACAGCAGTGCTAATAATCAACAAACTACAACATCTCTTTGTTACAAAAAAATAAGGGAGAGGTGCACTACAAAACTTAAATAGATATCCGTGTTGAGGCACTAAATTTGAGATAATTTGAAAAAAAACTGTAGTTCTCACAGCCTTCACAGGACACAGCTAATAGATTTGATGAGCATGCACTTATCATTGCTTATCAGAAAGCAAATACTCGGAAAATAACATCAGTCAAGGGACTTTCTGGAAGGGTTTTACCAGATGACGTCCACTCTTGGCATAATCTACAAGTCCTTCACGTCCAAGCCCGGGGGCTCTGGTTTATGAAAGTGCTGTAATTTGTAATCTTTTTGAAAAGGAGCTTCGCCTCCCGCAGTTAGAAATGAACAACGGTTGTCTCGGGAGCCGAGAACCCTCCTCCCTGCGAGCTGTTCAACACTCCGCGCTGCTCCGGCGCGGACAGCGCTGTAAAACTCCCCTTTCCTGCCCAGGAGGCGGGCAGAGAACGGCGAACCCTTCCTTCCTTCCTGCCTCCCTCCCTCGCAGTGCCGGGAACCCGCGGCGCTCCAAGTCCCCGCGCTCCCGGCCCACCTGCGCCGGCCCCGCCGCTGCGGGGATGCCGGCCCGGTTCCGGGGATGCCGGCCCGGCTCCGGGGATGCCGGCCCGGCTCGGGGGATGCCGGCCCGGCTCGGGGGATGCCGGCCCGGCTCCGGGGATGCCCGCCCCGCTCCGGGGATGCCGGCCCGGCTCGGGGGATGCCCGCCCGGCTCCGGGAGCCGCCGGGACTCCCCGGGCGGCCGTTCGAGCTGCCCGCCCCGCCGCTCCTCCCGGCATGCGCGGGGCGGCCGCTCGGGACCGAGCCCCGGCCGCCCGCGGCGCTCCGAGCCGGAAGGGACGCGTACCCCGAGCGACCCGCCCAAAACAACACCCGCGGTTGTTGTTTTGAAAAGTGATCACGGGAAATTTGACTTCCCCGATGTAACTTACCGGCCGAGGATACTGATCTACCAGAGTTTCAGGCCAACTCAGTAGTTGCTCACTATTGTTTCCTGCAATATTCTCAAGAAATCATTGATTCAATACTGACAATTTTAGTGTAACTAAAAGCTTTCTATCAGGCAGTTCAGTATCATTGATCTCCTTGTTAATTTTCAAACACAGAAAAAGGTCACTAGTGTCACACATGCAATTCAGTAACACAAAGCAACAAAGCTATACATACTGATGTAAGCTGATACTGCTTACACTGGGAAACTGTATCACAACATGCAGGACACATCAGAATAAATGTTTTTTCCAATTCATTTTTATTTTGGTTTCCATTGTTTACAGCACTGTTACAGGACTAACTCATGCAAATTTATCACCTTAAATACAGCAGAGAGAAAACCCACTGGTAAGAGTATTTTGAAGAGCTCCATCAACATAATGCAAGAGGAAAAGTAAGTAGCAGCAATAAGATAAAAGTGAATTCAGCTGACCTTCTTTAATGGGAGTTTAGGGAAGACTGTTCCTGGAATCACCTGTTTTAAGGAATAATTTAGCATTCTTTATAAAAATCAGAATAGAACAAACTCATGATAGTGTTCATTCCTCTACCACTCTCAATTAAAGAAGTACAGCTGTAATTTGTTTCAGAGGAATCCAGCTTATAGGCCTGTCTGTTAAAAGTTTGACTCACGATCACTTGGGCTTCCAGGACAAGGGTTACACTCACACACGTTAGCAGCTCTGTTTCTGAAATAGTTCAAGTGGTTCTTTCCCCCATTCTGTGGGTTAGTGAGTTCTGCAGTGAGAATGCCAACAGCACCCAGGCCTGAGCAGCATCAGACACGCACACAGCAGCAAGACACTGGGCTCTAAGATTCAATCTCTTTTCCCTTCACGGATAAGACACTTGGCTTAAAGATCAGCTCATTTATCAGATTTCCCCTGAAGGCCTGATGAAGAGGTAACACTACTAAGCAGCAGAACATCATCCTCTGCCTTGACCTGGAATTGACAATATCCTTGTGTATTAGGGACATGCTTAGTATTTTCACTCAATAGAACAGAACATAGCTTATTATAGCTGTGTGTGTGACAGCTGGAGAGAGTAAAGATTTAAATTTATTCAACCAAGATCTGCAGAAGACAAGATGATTCCACTTACTCCAATATACTTCACCACAAGCTCAGAGTACACACTTCCAAAAGCAAGGACTCTTAATTTCTTTCTTGCTCGTTCTCAAATTTGATCATATCTACATTCTCATTCTGGTGGATGCCTGAGGAACCCAGTCAAGGTCAAAAAAACCTTCTGATAGAAACAGCTTTTCAGTCTGAGTTGGAGTCAAAGCCTTCTACTGGAAGGGAAAGTTTTTCCCTTCTGCATTCTAGGGATGTCTCACTGCCAGGTCATACACAAACAAGATTCCTCAAGTCTTTCTGCAAATCTCTGAACAGCCTTACCTAAGAAGTACTTACTGACATTTCACTATTTTTACTCCCTCAAGTATCAGGCAGCTTCTTTCTGGAATTTCCATGATTTGAAAAACATGGCACTTATCACAGGCCTATATATTTACACCTGATCATGAATGAGAAATCCTAAAGCCATTTTCAAGGGAAAAATCTCTTTGTCAATATGAAAAACACCCCACTGCTGAGTAGCTCTGAATTCAGGTGGGACCTCCTCAAAGACAGAACATATTTTGTGTGTGTGATGCTGAAGAGATACAGATTGTCACTAACCTCAGAACCACAGGATCTGAATCTGGATTCCTCAGACATTTTGTTGGCAACAAAAAGATTATAACCAACATGTGGCAAAATACTGACCCACAAGGAGAAAAGAAGCTTGCAGGAGAGGAACTTAATTCTTAAGGCTCCTAAAATCAGCCAGACTTTTTTATTTGTCAATTCCAACTGGAAAAGACTCAAGTCCTTACAATTCCCAAATATTATATTCTAAATGCATCAGGGCAAAACTCAACAATTAATTTAATGTATTTGCAAATAAATAATGTATTTAAAAAACTAAGTTGCTTTAAGCCATTCTTGCCCTGGCATCAACTACAAGAGCCACAACTCCCCCCACCCCACAGGAGCTGTACTTGCCAGCATGTCGTGATACTTTTAACAGAAGAGAAAACATACCAAATCCTATTGCTGCCCAGACTGTAACATCATGTGGGAACTCTACATGAAGCAACATCTCTTACAGCGTGTAATCCACATGCTGTTCTTGTGGCCACATAGTGGTAAGGGAATTCCACAGGCCTGCTTCCAGAAAGACAGCTGTGCTTTTCCAAAAAAAACCCACATTCATCAGCTGAGCTCATCATGCAGTGCTTTACATTGTGTCAACTGGCTTCTCTTTCCTAGTTTTCTTCTTCAACAAGCTGCCAAATTATCAGCACTATCTCCTTCGCCGGAACTCGTTCTGTCTTTGCAAACTACGTGTCCACGACAGGAAATGGGCTGGACTGTGTTATTAAAGAGCTCTTAAGAGGAAGAAACTAACTCCATATCACTAAGCTTACCAAAGAAAATCTTAATCCCTCTTGCTCCAGAGGATAACTGGGTTTTGTTCACAGGTTTTAAGCATCCTGAGAGCAATAAACCTTTCTATGCAGGGACATTGTGATTTTCTGTTATGTTCTAGAATAACGGAATGTTAACCTCAGAGACAAGCCTGTGTGGGCTACAAATGCTTTGTGAAACCACCATCATGTCTGTGTGTGTGTGATTTGTGTTTAGTCAACCAGCTGCTTGTCACACATACGTCAACCTGGGGCTTGGAAGTCAAAAGTTATCTTTATGAAGTAAAACAAATTATTCAATAAAGATGTATCAGAATAACTTTTAACCTGATAAACATTTGCTTGATTGCTTTGTTTAAAGCAAAATGAAGTACAGTAAAAGCCCCCTGTAAATGTATATAGCACACATTCCTCCTGAAGTAATCTGGTCTCACAAGGAAAAAGAAGAGTTATTAACAAGTAGTGTTTAGAGGTGGGACACAGAACAGGGAAGCAGAATCCTACTGTTCACACAGCAACTGGAAACACAGCAATATGTTCTTGCTCATTCCCTTTAGAGAATTCCATCACCCACCATGTTCTCTGCAGTAATTAAGAGAGCACTGAAGGGAAACTGTTGTTTTTCTCTTTTTCTCACACTATCTGCTTTGCTGCAGATACTGATGTGTGAACATGTTGAGCTCGCTGTCAAGCCAACCTGCTTTGTTCCTGCAAGGACACAAAGGTTTGTTAGGTGAATGAAACAGCTCTTCTAAAGCCAGTCAGAAAGAAGTGCAGCAAAAATGAGTATACAGCAAGGCATGGAGTGCCAGAGGTTCATTCCAAAAGGCTGCTGGCGTTCCTTTGCAGGTCAAAAATGCTTCCCTGCTCTCAGTCCCTAAGCTTTGAGGTTTAAACAGAGATTTGGGACACAACTTCACATTGGCCTTACTGTGTAGGTAAGGTATGTTTGAAAAAGTCCTCCCAACATCCTCTGCAGGGTAAAGAAAGCAGCAGACAACTGAGTACAAAGGTGAAGGCAAGACTTTTTGCATAATTTTATAAGGGCCTAAAGAAGTTTGTAGGAGTGGAAGACTGTGTATTTTCATAAATAGGAAGAACTGTAATTCCAAAAAAATAAAAAACAGGAAGAAAAAAGTGCTTTGTGAGACAGAAGCTTTAAATGACTGTCAACAGTCCACAGGAAAGTACCTAGTGAAAGGGAACATGACTTGGTAGGGAAAAGTGCTGGTATCTGCACATCAAGTGCTATGACAAAGACAAAATGAACTCTAAGCTACAGCTCATATGAACATCCTGGGGCAATCACATGAAAAACAAGTGTATGGAACAATCAAATCTCACCTGAGCAGTTTTGCTTTGCTCTGCAGTGAATCCAAAACTTCTATTTTTTTATTCATGGCAGAAATTTCTTGCTCAAGGTTCTCCCGTGTGACATCCACTTGCTGACACAAATGAGCAAACGTTCCAGCAAGCTCTCTATGAAACAAGAAGAGTTGAGTATGACGGAAAGTAAGATCAAGCAGCACATTCAAGGAATAAATCCCTTTCATGTATAGGGATAATGGTATTGTGACTGAGACACTCATCTTTCCACTTCTGCACAAGAATATATCAGAGCATTTTGATTTGAGACATGGAAGTATATTAAGACTAATACCTAACAGCGCCCAAACACTACATATTCAAAATAAAAGTAATGTTATTTCAAAACATGCGTCATTACGTTTTTTAAAATCTGGAATTCAGCATGAAGTTACCTTATTTTTAACAAGGTAAAAATAAAAGACCCTAAACAACAGAATTCCCATAAGGCGTTAGCTGAACATAGGGAACTCACTGCTGGACCTGGTGGCTGCAGTTGGAGCCCGTGTAGCTGACGATGAGCTGCAGCTTCTCCCCGGCGTACTCCACGAACTGCCGCTTGAACGCTCTCTCCTTCGCCTTGGTGGTCCAGGTGAGGCGCTCGTACACGTAGAGCAGCCCATAAAGG